ATTACACTATTTTATTTAGAAAACACTGAATCAAAGTAAATCGGGATGTCCGAGTTTGGAGGTCGTCTAAACCTAATTTATCTTTATCTTTTATTATTGCACTGTCAAAAAATCACTTCAAAGTCCACCAATCTAAATCCATTATCTATATCAAATTATCGTTTATCAAATTTGATTTGCTTACCTGAAATGCACTTCCTTTCTGCTCAAACGTGAAATGAAGTTGAATCTTGGCATTATACATATATATTATAATTATGGAACTGGTTATTATACACCATTAGGTCACATATAAATATATATATTTTTGATTGAATTTCTAGAAGTTCGATTTTAAAAAAAGTAATCTACATGTGATCAAGGGTCTGAAATACTAACATCCTATAATTATCGATAATTTAGTTATTTAAACTTCCCGCGTTCAAGACTCAAAATTCAAAAATTAAAAAAGTTTATCAAATGCACAATCATCAAATTATATAACTATACTTGCTGGCATATCGATATACAGTCAACTCTCCTAAATCCGAACCTGGATAATCCGAACCCTTATAAATTCTGTAAAAACCGGACAGAACATTGTAAATTTTATTATAAAGTTCGGATTAGCAACATAATAACTCTTTAAAACCGAACTTTTTGATATTTTTACATATAAGAAAAACCTGGACAAATCCCAAACCCCAAAAAAACAAATTGCTTTTATAAAAAATTAAATCAACAAAATAATTTGGATATTTTGTGAATATATGACATATAGCTATAAGAATATATATTATTTGTTTAAATAAAGATTATTAATAAAGTTTTGAGATATTAGTTTAGGCTTAAGTTTAGGATTTGGGCGCGGACAAACCCAAACTATAATAGTTTGGGATTTGGGCGGCAAGTATATATATAGCCTCTACCATTAAATCACATAATATGGAGGGCTTCGAGATTAACAATCACCATCGAGATATCGTAGATATTAAGAAGATGGGTAAGCTTAGACCAATTTCTTCTAGACCATCTTCTTATTTATCGAGAATTTCGTGGAAATCTGCAGAGAAATTGGAGTATAGGAATTATGTTAAAAAAGACGAATATAAAGCATTCTCTCGTCATCAACAATCTGCAAATACAGGGGATCCAAAAGGGGTTTATAATCTCGGACATTGTTATCGAGATGGAATTGGAGTTGAAAAGAACGAACGTATGGCATTTAACCATTATAAAAAAGCTGCGGAGTCAGGTCATGCTGAAGGAATATATCATCTTGCTTACTGTTATCAAAATGGAATAGGTACAACAAAGGATGAAGCGGAAGCATTTTTTTATTATCAAAAATCTGCTGAACTGGGGTACGTGGAAGCAACAAATCGAATTGGATATTTGTATATAAATGGAATTGGAATTGAAAAAGATGAATTTAAGGCTTTTGTTTGTTATGTACAATCAGAAAAGATGGGGAGCGTTGATGGCATATATAACGTCGGATATTGTTACGAGCAAGGAATTGGTGTTGAAAAAGATGAACATAAAGCATTTACGCAATATCTAAAGTCTGCCAAGATGAATCATTCTGACGGAACATATTGTCTTGGACATTGTTATGAAAATGGAATAGGTGTTAAAAAAGATGAAGCTAAAGCATTTATTTATTATAAAAAAGCCGCCAAGATGGGGAACAGTAATGGTGTATACAACATTGGAGTTTATTACGATAATGGAATTATAGTTAAAAAAGATAAATCTAAGGCATTCTCTTACTATAAAAAGGCTGCAGAAATGGGACATGCTAAAGGAACATTTAATCTTGGTATCTTTTACGGTAATGGAATTGGAATTGAAAAAAATGAATATATGGCATTCTTTTATTATCAACAATCTGCTGAAATGGAATATAGTGATGGAATGATTCAAGTCGGATATTGTTATCAACATGGAATAGGAATTGAAAGTGACAAGTACAAAGCGTTCATTTATTACCAAAAAGCTGCCAGAATGGAAAATGCTAGCGGAATATATAACCTTGGTGTCTGTTATGATAATGGGATTGGTGTTGAAAAGGATGAACGTAAAGCATTTCTTTGTTATCAAAAAGCTGCCGAGATGGATCATGATTACGGAATATTTAATCTTGGTGTTTGTTATAATGATGGAACTGGTGTTGAAAAGGACGAGTATATGGCATTCATTTATTATAAAAAATGTGCAGAGATGGGAAATGCTATTGGAACAAATCAAGTTGGATATTGCTACCAAAACGGAATTGGGATCGAAAAGGATGAGGATAAAGCATTTAATTATTATCAAGAATCTGCTGACGCGGGGAATACTATGGGAATGAACTTAGTTGGACATTGTCATCGAAAAGGGATTGGTGTTAAACAAAACGAACATATAGCATTTACTTATTATACCAAATCTGCTGATTTGGGCGATCCTGATGGTGCATATTTTCTTGGATATTGTTATCTTAATGGGATTGGAGTTGATAAGAACGAAAATAAAGCATTTATTTATTACAACAAATCTGCAGAGAAAGGACATGCTCAAGGAACAACCCAAGTTGGTCACTGTTATAAAAATGCGATAGGAGTTGGGAGGAACGAAAGAAACGCGTTTATTTATTATCAAATGTCTGCTGATATTGGAGATCCTGATGGAATTTATAATCTTGGATACTGTTATGAATACGGAATTGGCGTTAAAAAGGGTGAATGTATGGCATTCTCTTGTTATCAAAAATCTTCTGAAATGGGATACTTTGATGGAATAATTAAAGTTGGCAATTGCTATCAAAATGGAATTGGAGTTAGAAGGAACGAACATATGGCATTTGATCACTATAAAAAATATGCTAATATGGGTTATACTGTTGGAATGCATAAACTTGGTTATTGTTATCAAAATGGAATTGGAACTGAAAAAAATTTACTTAAGGCCAATTATTGGTATGAAATGTAAGTAACATATTTTACTTTATATCAAGGTTTTTGTTTTTAAGCATTTTGTTAACTTTATCACCCTTTTATATAAAATATCAACTTATATATAATTAAATAAAAAATAGGGAAAGAGACAACTTATCAGGTATTTTACATTATATAATTGAATTTAACTGATTTAAATTTAGCAATTGAACTTTCTATTTGTCTGTTTTTAGTCATGAACAAAGGGGAATCTAAAAATCTTGAAATAGATAATGAGTTAAAAAATATATTAAATAAAGATAAATATTCGTTATCATGGATTCCTTATAACGAATTTAAAAATATTGAGAAGACGGGACAAGGAGGATTTTCAACGGTTTATTATGCTGAATGGTTCGATAAAAAGCAAAGCATATGGAGACCTTTTGCACTTAAAGTATTTCACGGATCCAGCTTATGCAATAAAGAGTTTATAAAAGAGGTAAGTTTTATTTTATGATACATTAAATGTCCTATATACCTTCCCTTAATTATTTTATTTTTAACATCAAAGTTAGAGACATATTGCAATACAAGCTACGAAAATCCATTATTTTTAAAGTGCTATGGTGTATCAATGGATTATGTTTCTAATGACTATATCCTTATTTTAAAACATGCGAGAATTGGATCCCTGCGTAAAAATCTTCGTTATGTAGCAGGAATGGACTGGGAAGAAAGATTAAAGTTATTACATTGTATTGCATATGATCTCAAAATAATTCATTCTCAAGGATTCATTCATCGAAATCTACATAGTAGCAATATTTTACAAGATAATTTGTCTAGTGCATATATTGCAGATTTAGGGCTTTCGATATCATCAAATATAGCATCAAAAGAAAAAGATAATATCAATAAGATTTATGGAATTTTACCATATATGGCCCCGGAAATTTTAGATGGAAATCCATATACTGAAGCATCTGACATTTATTCATTTGGCATCATTATGTGGGAAATTTTATACGGGAAACCTGTAAGTTATGATCAAGATGATGAATTACAACTTCAAATACAAATCTGTATTGATTATTTGCGGCCAGCTGTGTGCAAATATGCATCAAAATGTTACGTAAATTTGATGAGAGAATGTTGGAAGAAAGATCCGACAAATCGACCATCAGCAATAACAATTTGTGAGATTTTGACCAATTGGCAAAATGATCAAAAAATATTATTAGAATTATCTAAATCGAATGAAATATTAGAAACGTTTCGGTATACACATAATCAAACACATTCTAGCCCATTTAATATGGGCAAATTTGTTCCTTATACTAGCTCACTTATCGACAAACCAAAAGTGAACTATGCAAGGTCTGTTATGGTTTGGAGTGTCTGTTTCTTTTGCTCGGTAGTATTAATTTATTACCAGTGGTATTATTTCATAAGGCAATCTCTATAATTTTCTATTATGTTTTCTATATTATTCGTATATTTGCATTCTTTAAATGGTCTGAGTTTAACTTTTCTAAATTTGATTGTTGATCCTGATGTGGAGTCCTTTCTGGGATGCTCTATATGTTGTAATTAAACTAGTATGTAACCCGTCGCGTTGCTCCGGATTTAACTATTAACTTTCCATTTAGAATATAAATATAAAAAAAAAAATAAGTAGGTAATAATTTAATTAAAATAAGCTAGTTAAGTGTATAAATAGATATTATTCAGTTTTATTTTCTCTACAATAATTTAATAAGTGTATATTAAAAGTTAGTAATTTAGTTTTAATGTTGTTTTTTAATTTACATTATCATTGTTGTAGTCTGTAAGAACTAAGCACCTTTATTTATGTAAATACAAATTGAAAATAAGAATTACAGTTGCTCGCTGGTGGTTTGGATTTATTAATTGTTATATAGTTTCAAATTAAAAGGTTTGTAACTCATGTAACAGTGGGGTATTCGGATGGATTGTAATACATCATTAATAATCTATACTAGGCATTGCTATATACAGTTATCAATTCCTACATATGCATGCATATGGCTCCATCAAGCAACGCCTGAAGGAAGCTCCGTTTACTTCTCTATCTATGATTTAACTACAATTCTTACATTTATAAATTTTTTTTCCACCGATATTTTGTATGTCACCACAATTAGAGCTTGTTTTCGAAGTATAAGCCTCATCTTGAATCACAATTTTTATGCCAGTTTCTTTGGCTTTGGATTTCAACCTCTGTTTAAACATATAATGTGACCATGTTAATATGCTTCTCATGACCTTGGATTTAATCTTTCTTTTTTCTCTTTTTACAATGTTTTTTACACCAACCTCTGGAATTATAATCTCATCATAATTTTTTGTAAGATAATTTATAGTCTTCTTGTGGAGTTTATTTCTCAAATTCTCAATATTTTAAAATATTTGTTTTTATGTGTTCATGATAAAGAAGTATTTATTTGTTTTGCAATGATATATTAATTTACAATCTTGCTCAAATGTTAATACTGTAGTTATTTATTATTATTCCTTTTAGTTTCATAATCAAATCATAAATCTCTCCTTTCTAAAATTAGCATATTTGGTTTAATTCTATCCGATATCATATTTTATTAAATAAATATATTATATAAAATCTCTCAAGATCTTTTTTTAAAAAATTTTGCATATGTATACTAAACATTTGTTTAAATCTTTTTTTGATTTGTATGATAATTTTGAGTATTTTTTTTAGTATTGTAATTTTTGATTGCTTTATCAATAGTCTCACAATGATATTATTAGAAATTGCATTATAAACTTTTTGGATTCTTAATTTTAAGTACATTATGGTTCTTAAATATTGTGTTTTTAGAAAATTTGTTAATTTTTAAATTTAGTTTTATTATTATTAATACAAACAATAATGTAATGTCTTTTTTAAAGATATCCAATAATTATATTATAAATCAATTTTATTAATCTTATTCATTATTTTAAAATTATTTTTGTATATAATTCAGATATAATTTTATATTTAATATCTGATTTATGTTTTTTATTTATCTTTTTTTTGCTTTTTCTTACTATTACAAATTAAACAAATAAATAAAGAATAAATAATAAATAAATAATAGAAAAAAATCTAACATTATTCTATTTTATATCTACTAAATAATAGCAGCATAACAGCAGTATAACAGCAAAATAACAGTAAAATAATAGAAGGTTTGTTAATATTAGTAATATAATAATAACATATTAGTAAAATAATAGAATAGTTTTATTATTTTTGTTTTTAGTCTTTATAACTAAAAATAAAATAATAGAACTGTTTCATTATTTTGCTAATATGTTACTATTATGTTATTAATATTATCAAACTTCCTATTATTTTATTATTATTTTGTTATTATATTGCTATTATTAAGGTTTTTATGTTCAGCTTGAGTTCAGTTTAGTTTAAGTTGAACCCAAACTTGAACTAAATTTAAACAGTAAATTTTACTTATTTTGAACCCAAATCTGAACTCAAACTTATAATTTTTGAACCTAAATTAGACTTGAACATGTTAATAAATTTGGTTTAGATTTGGTTTGAAGTTTATAAACAAGTTTGGGTTTGAATATAAAATATTTAAAAAAAGGTTTGTAGTTTAAAGTTTAGCAAACTCAATTTTTGAATACTTTTTAGAAATTGAGTTCAATAAACTATAACCTATACTATTATATAAATAGAGTTTTAACTTATATACTTTTCTTTTATTTAGTTAATATATTATATTGTATATTAAAAAGATAAATATATTTTATAATTATAATAATAATAAACTTATAATCTTTACTATTATATAAATAGAGCTTCAATTTACAAACTTTTTTCTTATTTAGTCAATATATAGTATTGTATATTAAAAAGATCAATAAGTGTATTTTATAATTATAATAATGAGAATATTAATTAGATAATTAGTGTAAGATTAATCATAATAATTTAAATATTTTAAATTGGATCAGGTTAAAAAAAAAATTAGTCAACTAATAATAAGTTTTATATCTATAAAATTAGAAGTTATATTAATATCTCTTATAATGATAATAATGTTTTATAATAATAATTATGACAATGATTATAGTAATAACTATAGTAATAATTATGATAATGACTATAATAATAATGCTAATAATAATAGTACAACTAGCAAGCTAAATAATAAAAGTGAAGTATAGAATTTTTTTAGAAAGATTATATGACAAAAGGAAAAAAATAACTAAATGTACAGTATTAAAGTACAATTATAATAAGTTTTCTTGTAGAAAGAAAGGTACTATTAGGTTACTATAACATTACTTAAAAAGTACATACTGGACTTAGTATATCATAACAGAAGAATTTAATATATAAAAAAAATACAAAATAAATGTAGTACTGTTAAAAATGCATTTAAAAAGATTAGCTTTAGGGTTTTGCAAATGCTAGTCATAATATTATTAAAATATAATATTTATATTAGACATTATATTTTAATAATATTGTGCTTGGTACTTTGGAACTCTAATTAGTTCTTTTTTTTATTTTATTTTATTAATTTATTATTATTAATTTAATTTAAAAAATATTGTACAAAATCCTAAAAATCTAATATTAGTTGATATAGATAATATAAAGCTTTATAATATGTTTTCTGTCTGAATTATTAATTATTAATGCCTATTGTTTTCTGTCTGGATTATTAATTATTAATGCCTATTTAATATAATTGAAAACTTTAAATTAATTGAAATTATAAAATATTTAAATCTTATAGCACAGTTAGTTAAAACTAATACAATTAAAAAAGCAATAATATTACTTTATGATTTAAAAAAAAGAAGTTAAAAGCAAGCTTATTATTGTTATTTTTTTTTTTGTTTAAAGGCTGATGTTAATGACAGCTAATGCCTTTATTGTGTTTTTAGTAAATATACTATATATTACTTGTACAGGATGAGCATACAACTAGCAACACATATAAGTTTTGGTTATCTATTTAAGTAGTTCATCCAAGGGTTCTACACTAGCTGCCATACCTATAATCTACTAGGAGACTATCTAATTAAACACTCTGATTCCTATACTGCACCTAGGCA